ATTTCCGAAATTTTGGTCCGAAATTTTGGACAAAATTTAGTTGAATTTGAACAAATATTACCAAAATTCATGAAAAAAAAATTTCGGCAGAAATAATATCGTATCGGAGGGGTCTGAAATGACCGAATTTTCCGACCATGATTGTACATTGCGTTTGAAATATATATATAAACAAAATATAAATCGGCTGACACCTCCCATGTTTAAAAGTACTTTTGTTATTTGAATACGACACATCAGGTGAAGCCTACGCTGTTCTTCGGCATTTTGCTTTGATAATTTTTCCAAGATGTTTGTTAGGTTTAAAAATATATCATATTTAATACATCTGTATAAATAATTATCTATGATCTCTTTATTATATAGAAGGAAGTTCGATTTAGTTTGTTTGGAAAACATGTCTAACAAATCAAGTGTAAATTAGAAGTAAGGTGTTTGGCCCTTTTTTTAATAGAATGTTTACTTGCTTTTTTTTTACAAATTTTAAAGAACTATATTGTTAATAAATATGTTTTATTTGTACCATCAAGTAGTTCTCCTTCTAGTAGGTTTAAGTTGATGCAAGTTGTTACATACTTACATATAAATTAATAAAGACATATCATATGCCTCGCTTCCTTCTGATCTGTGTGATCTATACTATCTTTTTCAAAAGAATATACCTAGTTAACATGAATCCAAAATTTTAAATTTAATAGTAACAAATATAACTTTTCAAAGAACTATATACTACGAACCATAGTGCGGTTTATATATGTAATAATATATGGAGAAACTCATAATAATATGATATAGGATAGATGTAAGGCCATTAATGTCTAAGCATTTTAAAATTGTTATGAAAATGGAACATGCAATGGTTGGTTCAATTTTAGTGAAATGTAAAAACCCTTTTTTTTTACGAACTTATTGCATTTTTTATTACCTGCTTTATTTTATATTTTATACCAGATCAAAATATAGGCTTTTTGGATCTTTAAATCATTGTTTTAATTATAAATATATACAACAATATTTAGATTAGAATGCATATCTTGAAATTTATGCATGTTTTGATATTTTTTATTACTTTTGGCTATATAAACAGGAAGGGGTAGAGTGGGGAGCTCAAGCCGAGAAGGTATGGGTTGAGTAGTGCCGTGTTGTGTGTATGTTTGGGAGGAGGGCAAACTGGAGGGCTGTTTTTTTTCTATTTTATCTAAATGATTTAAGTAAAACCGATGATTTATTTTTTTCTCAATTTTTTTGTTATTTTTTTAATTTTTAAGACGTAACACATTGCGGCATAAGATTTTCTAAAAAGTATATCTACTGGTTGAAAATAATGGATCTACCTATTTAAGTTGAAACTGATGGTCAGATGATATTTCTTCCAATTTGTAAAGTTTTATTTTTATTTAAGGCGTAACACGTGACGCCTTAAGTGCGCTCAGAGGATGTACAATGATTTATGATAATATAATACTTATTTTCATTTAGTATTATGGTATGTCTTTTTTCTATTTGGTTACCATGCAAAGGAACGGTGTCTAATAAATCACGTATTTTCATTTTTATAGAGTGAAATATGGGTAACATGGATAAATTATCTATTTAATTATAAATAAAGGAAAAATTCAAATAAACTAACATTATGATTTAACTTAAGAATTATAATCATTTGGCTTTCTAGTTATTGATCTTTTTTACTTAGTTAAAAATTAGGAGACAAAGAAATTAAATGAGTGAGGAGAGGAAGAGAGAGTTAAAGGGAAGAGATCGTGCGTGCATATAATTGTAATAATTATTTTTACCGGGTTGTAGTGTTTTAGTTGCAATTACTTTTTTAACTAAAAATTGAAAAACAATTTATTGATTGATTAAAATCTTTCCTTTTTTACTTGTCTTCTCTAGTATATTCACAGTAGATATTAAAAATAGGAACTATAATCTAATAATGTTATTTTGGCTTATTCTAATGTTATAATGGGGGAGTAGCTTTTTAAAGCATTCCTCAGAGTTAGGTTCATTTTACTTTTATCCATATAGATCTAATTTAATTATTCCAAAGTCAGATATGGTGACAAAATATGTACCATTATCTTTCTATAATTTTATAATTGTTCAAATGGCACATAAAAATCAGAAAATTATAGCCCCAAAGTGACATATTTCTTCTCAAAGTTGATATTACAGTGGATATGTAAAATAATAATGTCAAAATGTAAAATAAGTTCATGAGTTCATGAAATATTAGTTGTGTGAGTTAGATGTTATAGTTGCTTATTTTTTGCACAAGTTTTGCTTTCTAACTAACATATTTTGGAAACATTACTCATAGTATATTCATTTTACTTTTATGATTGTAGACCTAATTTAATTATTATGAAGTTATATATGATGATAAAATCTATATTATTATAATTATTTTATATGTTTTTATAATTGCTTGAATGGCACGCAAAAGTTAGAAAATCTAAACCAAAATGGCATTTTTTAAAAGCTAAATTGTAGTGAAATATGGTCTTCAACTGTAAATTTAGTTATAAACAATCTAAAGATTTACGCGGATCAGAAATTAGTTGTATGATTTAGAAGCTTAATTGTTTAACACAAAATTATTGCTTATCTAACTAATAAGCCATGAAATAGGAGAAGGAATAGGTGAAAAGTGAAGAAATGAATTGAAGGAAGAGGAGGCGTACATACATACGTTTGTTTTTGTAAAAAAAAAAGAAACTTATACATACAGGCTTAGGTGGGCCCGGGTTTAGGAGAGGAATTTTTTCTTGAAAATTAATCTAATGGTTGTAAATAATTGTTCCACCAAATTTAATGAAAATATGTTTTGTTATTTTAGAATTTTTAAGAATTTCACTAATTTATTGGAGCATCACATGGCAACTTAGGAGCGTTTGTAGGATGTCATATGGCGAATTAGGAGCATTTTTGGGAAATTTAATGGACTTTTAGACATCTAATCTGATGTTCTAAAACATTAATCAGGTCCACCAATTTAAATGAAAATAGACGGTGATATTTATATAAATTTATAGAGTAATATGTTTTATCATTAAATAATAGTAAATCCTATTTTAAATATCATCATTTTTTTCTTATTGATTTTATGGTAATTCCGTGCGTCGTTTTTTCCGACGCGAACAGTAGATAAGCTTCATTGGTTTCTTCAGTTGTACATACGTAAGTTTTTCCCATATACATAAATACGTAATATTTAGGACGATTTTTTTTAAGATTTTGACCTTTCTCTTAAAAGTTTTATTTACGACTTTATTTTTTAAGATGGTTGTATATATTTGTGTTGTAAAGACCTTCAGAACAAATAAACTCTAGACTCAAACCAGTCAAAACCATGGAATCAAGTAGATATATGAATTAAAAATTATAGCAATTAATTTGAACTTATCTAACTTTTGATTCCTTTTATCTGAAATTGATTGCTTAAAAATAGGAATAGAGAATAGGAGAGGAGGGTATGGGGTGGACGGACGTACGTACGTAGGTAGGTACGTATATAGGAGGTGGTGGGGTAAGGGTGGGGTGGGATTTAAATTTAATATAATAGTCTAAAATCTCGGGTCCATCAATTTAAGTGAAAATGGCCGGTTAGATTTGATAGAGCCACGTGGCGGCCTAGGAGTATTTGTAGGAGCACCACGTGACGGCTTAAGAGCGTTTGTAGGAAGTTTAATGAACTTTTAGTATATAATAGATAGATAGATAGATAGATAGATAGATAGATAGATAGATAGATAGATAGATATTGCCATCTTGCCAAAATTTTGGCATAGCCAAAACTTGTTAAGGTTTATTTTGGCTATAATTTAAACAAGCCCGAAATCAACAAATAGACAAAAAATGGAAAAAGAAAGAAAAAAACAGAGATCTAGGCAACAAGGAACTGAAACGTGTAAAAGAAAACAATTACTCCGTTGCAATCTTGATGCGTGTCCCTTGGTTGATTACATCAGGCATAGCTAGATGTGTGATTTTACAAGGGTATCGATTATTCCAGCAGCCTCAGAAAGAGAAGCAAGAAAAAAAACACTAAGACCCCGGAATTATGCACGAATTTTGGACAATTCAACTATACTCGTGCTGTCTTGCATAACACGCCTGCATTATTAGGACGGACGTGTGCAGTAGAGTGGCCACTAGATCGCACTTTTAATTATTTTGTTCCTCAACTGAAGGGGCTCCATCTTGATCTGAGATCATGCTCAATTGGTGTGTTTTTCTTACACTAGCATATTGCCTGTGCGTTGTGACAGGATTTTAATCGATGAAAATGATTATTAATCTGCTATTATCATTATTTTCTGTATACATCGTCTCTTAAATTCTACTCCATTCGTTTCAGATTATAAGACTTTATAGTATTGCCCATATTCATATAGATGTTAATGAATCTAGACACAAGTCTTATATATAAGACAGAGAAAGTACATATTTATAATTAGCATATGAGTCATATAGCCTCTCACGGATATCATTTTCCTTGCCACAAAATATAGAGATGGTGATGGTGCGGTTGACATGTGGACCATTTGGCCCCATATGTCCTTTGTTCACTCCAATAAGGCAGGGAGTTTGTGGTGGTTGTGGTAGATTCATCATTCATCACCACCACTATTCCTTTTTTAAACTAGTATAGATACCACTATGTCAACTTGCCAGATTAGGATTGTACTAATGTTTCAACCTACAATGCGACTTGCCCAATTTCTTTTGGATCTTTGAAAATGAAGTGAAACCATCTTCAATTCAAATCCATGAAAAATAAGGAAAACAAAAAAATTGAATTCAGTTTTGTCTTTTTGAATCAACACAGAGTGATCAAACCCAAACAGTATAAATAAAAGGCTGAAATAGAATATTCTGTATTTCAACGTGACCGTACAGGTTAAACGATGGTTTTCATACGTTAAGTCATATCTGAAAACAAATCAACACACACGATAAAATGAAAACTAGACAAATAGAGATCCATGTAACAAGGATTTGAAATATCTCTTTAAAAAAGAATTGCTCTATTGCATCATGGTTGTGTCCCTTTTGATTACATCTGGCATAGTTACATGTGTGATTTTACATTGGCAGCAATTATTCAAGCACTCTCAGAAGAGCAGCAAATAATAATCCTGAATCTACTTACAGAGAAGAGGATAACTGAAAAAAAAAAGAAAAAAAACTCAAAGCCTCATAAAAGCTGTATATGCAGGTGACTCTGATATTTGGCTTCAAGACAATAAAGATGGATTAACTCTCAAAAATGGTTCCTCTCAATGTGTTTTCCTCTTGCTTGCAAGGTGTGGAAATGCACCGAGGATGTTGTGTGCTATCAGGTCCTGCCTTGTCAAGATCCCCACAATTGGAGATATCTGAAATTAAAAAAAAAAACATAAGTTTCATCACCGAACTATGCACAAATTGAGTTCAACAAATGATCACTAACCCGTATTCTACAAAGCAAAGCAAAATTCTAGAAATGATAAGACACTGATAAGACACTAAATCCCCAGTTCTGTAACAAAAGACCAGGACAGAACACAGATTCTGCACATATCTGATTTATCAAGCACATACAGAATCCAGAGATTATTGTGATCTTAGAACAACATTTACTTGCATTGTGATCCAGGAATGTAGTTGGAAAATAATAAGTAAATTAATAAACAAATACTTACTCCGTTTCAGGTTATAAAACGCTTTGACTTTAATCAAAGTTAAACTGTTTCAAGTTTGACTAAATTCATAGACAAATATGATAATATTTATAATACTAAATAAGTTTCATCAAACCAATAATTGAATATATATTTATAATAAATTTGTCTTGGTTGAAAATGTTATTATTATTTTTTCTATAAACTTTAATCAAACTTAAAACAGTTTGACTTGGATCGTCTTGTAACCAGGGAGTAAAATTCAGTCTGTGTTTTGGCGCTGACCTCGGGTCCTTGGAACTTGGGCATGATGAGCATGTGGCGGAGCGCGACGGAGCGGAACAGCACGACGGCCTTCGCCACCGACATGGTCTCCACCACGGTGTACGGCGTCGTGTTCGTCAGCGGGTGGAGGTCCACGTACATCCCCATCTCCTCCGGCGAGATCTCCAGCTCGTCCACGCCGCCGCACTTGTCCGCGAGCTCCGCCGAGCTGAACATCTCGCGGGCCTCCCACTCCTCCGTCCTCCTCCTCTCCGGCAGGAACCACCGCTTCCTCAGCGCGGCGACGAGGTGCGACCGGAGCACCAGCCCGTGCAGCTCCGATACCCCGGGCCGCGGCCGGTCCAGCACCGGGAACCCGTTGTGCCGCGTCGCCCGGAGCGCCTCCACCACCGTGGACACGCGCTCCACCACCTGGAGCGCCACGGCGCGGGGCTTGGCGGCGGCGAGCTCGCCGACGGTGAGGTCCTTCATCCACGGCTCCGGCTTCGCCTCCAGGAACGGGAGGCCCTTGAGGTCGAGGATGATCTCGTAGATGCTGGGGTTGAACGCGTCGCCGACGGTCTTGGCGATGAGGAGGACGAACATGGTGATTGGGAGGAGGAGGAGGTTGTTGGTGAGCTCGAGGAAGATGACGACGAGCGACACGGTCATCCGCATGGACCCCGACATGAGCGCCGCCGCGCCGAGCACGGCGTATAGGCCGTGGTCGATGCGGGCGAACCGCGACAGCACGAGCGCCGTGACGCGGCCGTAGGCGGAGCCCATGAGGATGATGGGGAGGAAGAGCCCCGAGGGGACGGCGATGCCGAAGGTGAAGAGGCCCAGGACGCAGTAGACGGCGAAGAAGATGAGCAGCGAGTCGAGCCTGAACTCGCCGGCGGTGCCCGTGGAGAAGATGTTCCGCGTCGCGTCGACGTTGGTGGCGTGGAGGAGGGTGGCGAGGTCGTTGTAGTGGCCCTCGGGGCAGTTGAACCGCTTGAAGTTGCCGCTCTTCCCCAGCGTCGGGCACGCGCCGCCGAACGCCGGGTCGCACGGCGTGCACGGCACGGCGAACGGCGTCACGTACAGCAGCGCCGACGTGAGCGCGCACACGGCGAGCGCCAGGGCGAGCTTCGCGGCGCGGCCCTTCTCGTTGATGAGGTTGTACACGCGGAGCACCTTGTGGAGGACGTGGTTGTACAGCGCGCCGAGGACGCCGCCAAGCACGCCGACGATGGTCACCGGGAGGAGGTCGCCGGCGTGGTACCGGACGGCGACGTCGCCGACGTCGAACAGGATGAGCCCGCCCTCGCCGAACAGACCGCACCGCCCGTTCCTGCACACCTCGATGAACCCGCGGAGGACGACGACGACGGTGGCCGTGCTGAAGAAGGTGCGCCACAGCAGCGCGCTCCGCCACCACGTCGCCACCTCCTCCAGCGCGAACAGCACGCCGCCGACGGGCGCCCGGAACGCCGCGCACACGCCCGACGACGCGCCGCAGGTGATCAGGTCGCGCCGGTCGCGGTCGTTGTCGAAGTAGCGCAGCCACCGCAACCGGAGGCGGTGCCGGCCGGAGCCGCCCTGGCTCAGCAAGTTCGCCAGGCACGCGCCGATGTGCACCAGTGGCCCTTCCTTCCCGAGATCCAGCCCCGACGACACCGCGCAGATGCTACCGATGATCTGCGATGATCATACATTTTTTTCTACTCGTCAGTGTGTGCGCGTCTGCCGTTTAATCGAAAAAAAAATGTTGTTCCGACACGTTGGAGAAGTGTGACATTTTTTTTTTGTGACCTTGACAATGAGCTGCGGCGCGCCGAACATGTTGGGCGTGTCGACGCCGTTGAGGTAGGCCTTGATCTCCGGGATGCCGGGGCCGGCGGCGGTCGGGGCGAAGACGACGCAGAGCATGGCGGCGATGAACGTCAGGCCGAAGTTGACGCCGGCGAAATACAAGAAACCGGCCCAGTATCTGCAGTAGGGTGACGGCAAATTTTTCACCATCAAGAACTCGTCGCCGGCGATGAGGAAGAAGAAGGAGGAGTTGTGGGCTTAACTTTTCTTGCGGACGAGCTGCACCATGTGGAGCATCTTGAGGCCGGAGATGTTCTCGATGGCGAGGTTGATGAGCGACGCGATGACGCCGGTGAGGAGGCCGACGAGGAACGCCATGGCCCACTTGAGGAAGATGTACTGCAGCACCTCCACGTTCGATCGCCTCCTCCAGTCGTGCTTGAACAGATCATTCTCGATAATTCTACCAAATTCACACATCACAAATTGAAAAAAAATGCAAGAACAGATTAATTAAACCAACCGATCGAGAATCAACAAATCAAGAATCCAAGAATTGATGGACTCGTGATCGAGCACGGTGAATTAGACATGGAGGAGGAGGAGGAGAAAATGCTCACTCGTAGTCGAGGCTCTCGATGTGGGAGACCTTGGCGCCAACCATGGCGAGGTGGCTGGCCGTTAGCGTGTTGCTCCGCTTCAGAAGCGGCTGCTCCAGCGAGCTCATGGCCGCATTGCCCGTGCACCCGGGGTCCTCGGCGTCGGTGACTCCGTCCTCGAGCTTGCGCTCCGGCTCGCCGGCGGCGAGCCTCGGGCTCTGCTCCTCCTCCATGGACAGAGCTCTGCTTCTTGGAGCAGCTCAGAAACAACAAGATGAGATATGTGTGTGTATGTGTGTTGGGACAATTGGAGGGAGGGGACCGTTTCAATGCTCTTATCTGTGGTTCTGCAAGCAATAGTGGTGAGGTGTCCTCATATAGGGGAATAAAATATTTATTTTGGGGGTGTTTTTGCAAAAAAAAATATTGTTGTTTTGCCTAGTTGATCATTTCACATGGATTTGAAATTTTCATGTTTGATTGAGTTTATGTTGGCAATTTGGTGCAAGATAGGGCCATTGGATTAGTCTGATGAAGAACAAATTCTTTGCATTGAGGGGGCAGGGGCATGCCCTTTGGGGAGCTAGGAAGGGTTTCTCTTTTGCATAAAGTGAAGGGTGAAATGTAGACAGCTCACTTGATGCCCACTTGGTCTTGGACTCTTGGTGACAATTATTATTTTTACTATGGACAAATGGGATCTTGTGAAGTGGATTCAGAGAACCATCTCAAAGGATGCCAACAACAAAGCAACAGTGGTTGTCAGTATCTATGCTGGGTTGAACTTTCCAAAGGTTTTGGCTCAGATATATTCAGGGTTGATAAGGTTGCCATTTGATTAATTAGCAGGTCCATCCTGCAAATCATCAACAATTGGAATGTTGTCTTGCTAACCATTCTATCATTCTTTGCCAAAAAAGGAAAAAGAAAAAGAGAAGCCATTCTATCATCAGACAACACTTGCTCTTCTAGATATGAGATGCAAAAAATTCAGCTTCTGTTCAACTCCATTTTGATTTGTCTAATAAAATTTCTGTCCCTAATATAGCGCGCTATGAGTCTATCTTGCTATTTCACGTCAAAATAATTTTCAGTCCCTAAGAAAACCAGGTTACAAAGTGTCAATGGAGTTGATGGAGAACTAAAAAATCCGGTTGTGCCAATGCAAGAGTTGTGGTAAGATGACATGACCATGAAACAGAAGAAATGTGATTATTCTTATTTTTCACAACAGCGATGCTTATAGTCATAGGTACAAGTTAAGAAAGTCCAACAGAGTACAATAATTTGTGGGACCTAAAGATGAATTTCTTATGTTTGGAGACTTACATGTCAATTCCTCTAAGGTTTAAACTTACCATTCTTTTTGTACATAGCATGATGTAGTGCACTTTTGTCTTCAAAACGTGTCTAATACGCAGTACCTGAATCACTAAGTATGTCTCAGTAATAATATGTTTGCATGTGTCTGACAAGCATCAGTTAAATCTTTGTCTAAAAGTATCAGTTAAATACTTTATGCTCTGTCTGCCACACGTGCTTATCAGGCAAAAACACTGTTTATGATTATGATTTACTACGGTCACTGTTTGGTTGAGATCCTTCGATGTTTCTCCGTAGTTATGGTGAAAGCTCAAGAAGGCAAGCATATCTATTTTAATCATTACTGTATATGTCCATTTAAGTTCAGGGATTAGATCGTATTATCTGTTAGATGTGAAAGGATATTAATTGAATTTAACTGGAACCACTGTCTCGTTTATTCAAATAAGAAAACTCTAGTATTGAATAGCTGATTATGCTGTTGTTACAATAATAGTAAAATTTTAAGATATTTATTTATGACTAATATATAATTCTATATATAAACCTGTCCTTATGCCTTGTGATTTGTGAGGCAGCAGAGAAATGGTTGGTTTATCGATAATCAAAATGACCAGAACAAATAATTCTTTTTTTATAAGAGAAGATCAAATAATTCAATTAGTGCATATGAAGATGAAATGACCACATTTCTTGTGTTCCCGCAAACAGCTGCTGAAGAGAAAATACTTATCCAACGCGAAAGGACATATGCTTAATTCATCTCCATTTTTTCTGTTCAGAATATATATATATATATAGATGCTTAGCAAAAGTTGATCAAGTATTAGTCTTCTAAACTTTATGTTTAATTATACGCATGTTTCATACGGCTGCCTAGATGTTTCTGGAGATAATAAAGAGACCACATTGACATTGCCTTGGGCTGGCCTAGAGGAGTGGCAATAATTCAATTGAATACATAAATGTTTAATCTTTAAACTGTTTTTTTATGACGTCCCAGAAAACCCTCACAAGAAAAGATAATGTTACAGGTCATATTTATTTTGTTTATGTTTAATTGTTAGCCACGTATTACTATCTAGTTCTTATTCATTGTGAATTAATTATCACACAGAATATTTCGTCAGACAAAATCAAATATGCAGAAGAAAAAGTTATAATTTATTTGGCTTCAGTCCTATCACAAATGTGTTGGACTTGTCATTAACTATGAATATTTTTATTCAAAACAAAAAATTTGAAAGCTTCAAATATTAATGATACTTGTCACCGTTTAGGAACTTCAATAGGCGATTAACATATATAGCCCAACCCGTCTCTTCGGAGAAATCCGATAAATTAGAACGCCACAAGGACACAAGAAAATGGTTTGGATTAAGCTATATCCTTTTTACAAATTTTTGTTGACTCTCTTAGGTTATGCTCTGAGCAATTCATACTGGCATCATTGATTCTTTTCTAAATGTAAATCATTCTAGAACGCATAAAAACGCTATATTTTTTCTCTTCCACCCTGCTTACCAAATGGAACCGCTCCCCTTAATAATTAAACTACTATTTTTTTTTTGCTGTAGTATAACTGAAGGGCAAGAAAGTAATTTGATCAACATTCTTTGTGCGCGACACAAATTCAAGGCTGATTATTATATATGTAATTTGGGGGAGGGGGTACAATTCGGTCCATATTACCTTGCAGTTCAATTCCTTTCTTCTTTTCCTTCCTTTTCAAGCTTTTATCACATGAATTTATTTGTCCATCTCATCTCCTTTACATTCTCCTGAACCATCTGGAAAAATGAATCATGCTCTGAAGATAAGAGCAAAATGAAGCTTACCAACTAGAAAAGCTAAGAAGTGGTTGAGGTCCACAAATCTGCACACTGCTACCACTGATAGCAGCACACATGCAGAACAAACACAGCCGTACCACCGTCTATTTTGTTTTCGCTTTTGCTAGTTGCTCTTCTGTCTCTTCAGGGCTCCCAAAGGGACATTTGGACACACATGGATAAGAGCTCATCATTATCAAGATCTAGTACTCATTTGCCCTTTACCTGTTCTTTTCTGCTTTGTCTAGGCATAAGCCAACTCACATGAAAAGTTAGCCCTTTAGGATTAAAGGAAGATATAAACATTACATTGAAACAAACATGGATGCATGTTGTATTTGGGAATCAATCAGCCACTGATTTGGAACATCAAAAGATACAAGGCATGATTGGTGCCAATTTAAAACCCAATTTTAGAAAATAATTAAGGGCTTTTTCGTTGCTTTTGCTTCTTAGGATTTGCCTTTTGTGTTTGAGAGCAAGAGAAATGAAAAGATTGAGAAGATACACAAAACTAATTGAGCTATTAGCGCACAATTAATCGAGTATTAATTATTTTAAACTTGAAAAATAAACTAATATGTGTCGACATTTGATGTTGCGATTCCGATATTTGCATAGTATGGGGATCGTTGGTACTAGGATATATGCGAGATTGAGGTAAAAGAGACGGAGACGAGGATTTTTATACAGGTTCGGGCCCTTGAATTGTCAGGTAATAACCCTACATCCTGTTGGCCGAAGCCGGTCGTTGCTCTTATTCACCATAATCACACTAGTATAATATTTGGGGTAGCCTATCTAACTGTTGTCGACATGGCGGCCGTGAAACCATCCCGTAGTCGACAACAGGGTAGTCTTCCTCCTCGAGTTCGTGCCCAGCGAGATCAGAGACAGCGCTAGATCCCTACAGCCGGCCTCTGTAGGTACCGGATAGGGTTGGACCGGGCATATCTCTGATGTCGATATTCGGCGGCTTGTCTTGACGTATGTTGGCTTGTATGTTGTGGCTTCTGTTGTTCCATGTCCCCTCTCCTCCTAGGGGGCCTTGTATTTATACCCATAGGTGTCTCCTTGTCCAAGTAGAACTAGGGAAACCAATATGGATACAATCCGAGTAGTACTTGTCGTTTCCATGTAGAATTCTAGTCATCCTTCCTTATGCGGAACTCCTTCTATATCCGAAGGTTGTTTCCGTATAAGACATGTATGTGGTGGGTCCTGCCGAGATTTAGTTAACTACTTATTAGGTACGTGGTATCCATAACCCTGACAATATGATTTTTTTTCAAGCAATTTTTCTATAGATATTTTTTAAAAAGTAAAATATTGTTTAGCAGTTTGGAAAGCGACTATTCCTTTTTTTTTTCCTACTATCGAACGCAGAGAAGTATAAAAACATTTCCCAAAAGTTAGTTTTTATCACCAGTAATTTAACTTCGGTTTACACTTCTGTTCTTCGTAGCTATAGCTCTTCCACCTTTTATTGGAGGATTTCCCGTGGCATTGGCAAAGGTAGAGAGTCGTAATTCGAAGTAAATGTGTGCAAACGTAACTGAAAATTTGAATGCCACATTCCTGCATGCATATATATTTTCCTATCTTCTTGTACTATTTTATATTCTTGATCGAGAGTTGTACACGTCTCCATCCCTATAATATTGCTTTCATTTCACTACTACCCCCATAGGTTAGCAGCAGCATTGGGTCATCCGGCCATCAAATTTTTGCTGAATCGATCGATCTCTCTGACCAGGTTCCTTTGTCTGCCATCCCTGATTGCCGAGTAGAATAAATAATTCGTGTGACTCGGAGAAATGGGCGAGGGAGCAAGCAATGTCCGTGGACCATGGAAATGGCGATGCAAGGAAGGGTTTGTGTTTAGTTCACACCAAAATTGAAAGTTTGGTTGAAATTAAAACGATGTGATAGAAAAGTTGGAAGTTTATGTGTGTAGGAAAATTTTAATGTGATAGAAAAATTGGAAGTTTGAAGAATTATTTTGGAACTAAAGACGACGCAAGTGACAGGTAGTCGAAGTCGACGACGGATCGATGCATGATTTCGGCAATAAAAATAGTAAAACGGGGTCCAATAATGCAGCGTGTGAGGCAGGACAGGTAGGCAGGGAGGCTCACGATCCCAGGCTTCCAAGTCACATGGATTGTGACCGGTGATTGGGCAGTCAGGACACCCAAAAACGG